GCAGTAAAAGCTAACATTTGCATTTATCAAGAATTTTCTGTTGATTGAACTTTCTTCAGTCTAATCAATCAAGGAGCTGGGTAAACAAATAGGCTCTCACTCTTCTGCAGTCCTTCGGACCATTATTTTCCTTTCAAATAGGCTCCTAAGCCTTTGGTTCTGCTGTTTTGTATCTTTTTACTGGAACAATATATATATATTTTTAAAACACTGTCAAATAATCCAAAATACTAGGCACAAGTATACATCAGCAGAGCATCAGCACAATATGTGACATGTTTCACAAGTATATGATATATTCAGAAGCAAAGAAAGAGGCATATATCCCTAAAATAACATTGATTAACACTGGTGAAACCTTAACAGAGGGCCAAGTTGTGATTCTAAAACCTGGACAGCAGGAGAAGCTGCTGCCATCCTTGAAAGCATTAAGCAAGTCAAAGTTTTAAACAAAAACTACGTAGAATGGAAGATTTATGGAAGCAACTAAAAATAGCCGACACCTTTTCTCTTCAGTTTCTTCTTTTTCCTCTTTGCTCAGTAACTTTAATAGTGTGACATGTGCCGTTATCTAAATCTGCAGCCAGCAAATCCACCCCCCCCCCCAAAAAAAAGTCTCTGCAATGGCATCATGCCATTGTAGTGGAAAGAGAGGCATTTGACTAATGTTCTTGGGAGCAGTCAAGGTAAAAGGAACCTACTAAATGAAAAAAAAGGTTTGTCTGTATATTCTATGATAATGATTAATACGACGTGACATTGCAAAGATTTCAATTAAAGAAAATGAAAGAATTTTGTAATCATATAGGGTAAATCTATGCCCACCACCGGTTTTATGTGTTTGTGTTTGTGTGTGTCATCACATTGTCGTCATCATCATCATCTTAGCCATTGTCTATACACTGCAGGAGGAAGCCCTCTTTCACATGTTTCCAAAAAATAAGGTCATGAGTTTCTTTTGCCAATTGGGCCCGATATATATCTGAAAATTTGGAGCTGCCGATTTATTTCTCTTTCATCTATGATAAAATCTTAATTTTTAATTCTTGGTGTTTTATTGGACCATATGGACTTCATTTTTTTTGTTACACTACAAGCTTTAATAATTTTTTTCTCAATACAAGTAGTCTAAAATTGGGACCAGAATTTCTGATGTTAAGAAAGATGGTTGTTAAATGAGTCACAAACCCACCCACCCCATTTTATGACCCTTTCGCCATAGTTATTAAGCAAATCACTTCACTTGTTAAGTGAATTATGGAATTGTTAAGTAATTGCAACTTCCCCCATTGACTTTGCTATCAGATGATAGCTGGGAAGGCTGCCAAAGTAAAATACAGGAATTTGGGATGCTGCAACCATCATAAATATAAGCCAGACGCGAAGTAACCAAATTCTGAACTTCTGTCCCTGGGGATGCTGTGATGGTCATAAATGCAAGGTCCAATTGTAAGTCAGTTTTTTATTGTTGTTATAACTTCGAGCAGTCATTAAATGAATGGTTGTAAGTTGAGGATCACCTATTAAAATAATAAATATGTTAATTCAGGAACTAAATGTTTATGTTTAAATATCTATAAACATATCCCTTCCTCTTCCACTCTCTAAATGGTCACATTGTCCTTAATGCTAAAATTTCAGTTTTTTGGCTGTTTATTCCAAAATGATTGGCTATGTTTATTAGAATCTTTTAGCATTTTAGGGCTGTGGTATATTTTTTAGACATGTATTTTGCTTATGCCCACACTCTCTCAAATTAATATCTGCAGGTATAGTCTAAGCTGTATATCTCCCCAGTTGTAGCCAACAAATGCCTCCCAGCTCTTAAGAAAGGATTGCAAAATACTCAAATGATTTTTGCCAAATCGACAAGATAGATAAATGTATATGCAATCAAATTCATAGTTACATTTCAAATAAAATTGCTGTAATATATTTTACATGTCAGTATCTTCAGAGAGTAACTTTGTTTGATACTTTGGTCCCTAGCTTTGAATTTTAATGCCATTCTACTGTTTCTGCTGATTTAATATTCTGATTTTTTTTAAATTTTTGTGGCCATATTTCTTAAGAGATCTTTTTGTGAGATATCTTATGATGTCCCAAAAGTCAGGATAAAATCTAATAAATCAACATATTTAATACCGGAATTTATGAGCAATGATATATATAAGTAGATATATCATTTTAATGAATAGACAAATCCATGTTCACCCAAGATCATTTTGCATGTAAGCAAAACCCTGCAGATGTCCTAATCCACAAATTTTGCTCCGATAGGATATTGGCAGTTTCAGTTCCCAGTGTCTGGGATGTCTGGTAATATAATGTCTGCAATAAGCAATGTCTGGGAATATGTGGATGGGCAAAGTGAGACAAGCCCAATCTTGTAAAGATGTGTTGCAATGACCTCCAGGTAGCCCAACAAGGTACTTATGGATTCTACCCACAAGTGTCATCAACAACCAGGCAAGAAAACAGTGTTCCTCTTTTTTTGCACCAGAGGAAAGGAGCTAAAAACCTCTGAAAGAAGCAGTTTGAAGTAGCAAAGGCCACATACAAAAAAAGAAGCAAATGCACACAGACAACAAGGAGCCAGAATTGCAGAAAGAGATTTGGTATCTAGCTTTCTACAAAATGTCTGGCTTCCTAAAAACTACACTGGAAATGGGCTGGCTTTTTACCAATGACTAAGCAAATAATCCCAGGAGCATTTCATTTGCAATTTGATAACATCAATAAGGGTTCATCCTGTATTCCATCCGTCTTTGCTTGCAAAAGAAGCTGCCCCCTGCACTCTGGATTCACAGCGAAGCACTCTCCCCGTTAATAGACGGGAAGGAAGAGCACAAGATGAAAGCAAGGCTAGGTTCTAGATGCAGATAGAAACAGGTTCTGTATCTGACAGGTCATAGAAGGCAGCAACAGATGTGCATGCTCTGCAGTTGTTGCACTGCTTTCACGACCAAAACACTAATAAACATTCTTAGCAAATACTGGCCTCGTTAGGCGTTGGTCAAGATGAGAAGGATTTATATGGGATGGAGAGCACTTTGGAGATAGTAAGATACCAAGTACGAGGCATAGGAAATGACCCAGCTCCTTCCACATTAGGCATATAGGGAGGAGGGGAAATCAACAGATTATAGAAGAAGGAGGCACTACCACCTCAACAGGTGTAGCTAATTTATGGGATGACTCTCAGGGAGTCACCAGCAGAAGCAACACAACTACATTTTGTTCTCGCAGCCCACAATAATTTCCCTTGGAAACTCAGGAAGGGTAGGATAAATCTGATGAGAAAGATGATGCAATGGTATGTGAGAATGGCTTTGGGAGGTGAGATGGAGAGGTGCTAAATCAGAGCTCTAAATCATCAAGTAGTAGAAGAAACAGCTACTTGAATAGGGGTGGAAGGTGGGGGTAGTAACTCTAGAGAACAGCATGGACTCTTTTGAGGCCCATGGTTAGAGCAGGGCGAAGTGTTTACTACCTTATCTCAGCTAAAGCAGCAAAGTGCAACCCAGAAATCTTTAAGTAGCATCGAGAAAGTGTTCCTAAAGTTTTGTAATTTAAGGGAACCAGGGACACATTCCTGGACAGGTCAAGGCTAGTTCTTTGGAGAACTCTCTTAAGATAAAATAAAGTTTCTCAGTCAGATTTACATTCAGATTCTTTTGTTTTAAGGTGTGCTGGCTGTTTTACAGAACTGATAGTTTGAATGTGTCTGCTGTTTCAGACAATCTGCCTTGATTTTGGTATCTCAGATGTTTATTGCCTTCAGAGAAAAACATGCAAAAATGTAGTTCACAGTCATAAATTATTTGAGTCCCCGATTCAGCGCATCTATGCCCAGTCTTCTCATACATGTAACAAGACATTATGCTTTGAAGTACTATTTGTGTTCTTATCAGCGCTAAACAACTTATTCCAACTAATTGTAATTGGCATTTGACAACAAAAAGCTACAATGATGTTTTATTTTTTTCATTTTTTTCTAATTTTTAGTTTATTATTTCTATTATTTAGTTTATACTATTAGGTTTTTGTCCTGATTACTTGTATAAATAACTCAAGGCAGTGAACATACTTCTTCCTCCTCCTATTTTTCTCATAACAACTAGGTGAACTGGGTTGAGCTGAGAGAGGGTGACTGGCCCAAAGTCACCTGGGTGGCTTTCAAGCCTAACATGGGACCAGAACACAGAGCCTCCTGGCTTCTAGCTTGGTGCCTTAACCACTAGATCAAATTGGCACTGAGATGTGGTGGTGGCGCAATGGTTAGAATGCTGTATTGTGGGCTAGTTCTGCTGACTGCCAGGGGTTCAATCCTGACTGGGCTCAAGCTTGACTCATCCTTCCAAGATTGGTAAAATGAGAACCCAGATTGTTGGGGGCAATATGCTGACTCTGTAAACAGCTTAGAGAGGGCTGGAAAACAATGTTCAGTGGTATACAAGTCTAAGTGTTATTGCTATTTTTAATTTCATGTCATAATATTGATGCTTTTGTTTTTCTCTCCTCAACAAGAGACAGGACTATTTTTCGCTGAGTGCACACTTTACAGCTAGTAATGTCAGGAGTGACAGTACAAAATTTGATTTTTTTGCATCATCAACACTACCATACCTTCATCATTATGTTATAGCAATAGCACTTAGACTTGTATACTGATTTACAGTGCTTTACAGCCCTCTCTGTTTACAGAGTCAGCATATTACATCCAGCAATCTGGGTCCTTGTTTTACCCATCTTGGAAGGATGGAAGGCTGAGTCAACCTTGAGTGTGGTGGGATTTGAACTGCCAAATTGCAGCCAGCCAGCAGAGGTAGCCTGCAGTATAGCAGTCTAACCACTGCGCCACTGCAGCTCAACTAAAGTTATGTTATGTTCAAGTAAACTTTACTGTCAAATAAGTGAGAGTAAGGCTGTGAGTTTGTCTCCAAAGCTGGTGTTAAGAGTTAGGAAAATGTGGCATGGTGGTGTGAAATAATACATACCCCGAAGCAGGACACATAGAACGGCAAAGACCAAAACACACGCTTGGGAAAGGCAAGGCCGTCTCCCACCGCCTATCAAAAATATGTTTTACAGTCACCATAATGTTTTGGGAAACATTAATATAGTAATGAGACATAACAACACAATTAACACAGAAATATGGAATTTCACCAACACTTTCAGATATAACACCTGACCTATTTAATATTTATACCAACAGGACAGATGATTTCCTCCACATAGTTGCAAAGAGCATAAAATCCCAGCTAGAAAATTGTAACAATAAGCCACACGTTAACTGGAGTTGTAAACTGCAACCAACAAATTTATAATAAAGCGTTATCATTTCCCACTAAAACAACTGTAATCCAATTTGTAATTACAGTTAGATATGCAAAGTGTTTTATAAGTATGAGGATGTGTTTTAACTTTTGATCTTCAGAAAAGGTCACCTTTAAAAAAAAATCTTCATGCTTACTTTAATAGATGTTTGGAGCATAACTCTTCCTAAAATAGAAGTCGCAACATGTTTTGGTTTTTTGGCTATTTTAAAGTATTGTCAAGTAAATAAACACCTAGTTGAACACCAGGAGTAAATTCTGTATTTAAACACCAACATGCTTATTAATCATTTTGCAGCACCCTTCTACTTACACCTCCTTTATTTATCTCACTTTTACCAGATACCTGAAAATGATTTTTACTTGCAGTCTTCATATTATTTACATTTATGATACTGAGCATACTCTGCAAATTAATCATATCAGATCCTCTTACATGATTAAAACTTCATTTTGAATTCACCCGTCTTTACAAAGAGATTATCATCCTTGTTGTTAAGTATGGTTCATCACACAGCAAATACTAAATTGACTCATATATCTCATGCTTAGCTTCCTCTGCTGGGTCAGTTTCAGAAAATATTGATTTGAAACTTTATACATGCATATACGCATACACCAGAGAATTCCCAGCAGTAAATAAGGGGGGGGGGGGAGAGAAAGAAGTAAAAACGTAATCTTATTGTCCAAATTAGGTACCTAATAAGCTCTATGTATGAATGCCTCTGAAAAATTTCAACTGGTTCAAAATACGTATTACAGGCAAACTGGACCTGTATTCATATTTGTATTTATTTACTCAGTACATGTGTATCCTACCACAATCCAATTAAGGACTCTCAATGGTTGGCAGATATACATTTATATAATTAATGAAGTTTAAAAACTAATATTAAAACATTGGTGTAAAACTGCACAAAATAACAGTAAATGGCATCAGTCTTTAAATGTTCTAGAAAGGAACTCTGTTTTAAGATTGCAGAAGGCAATCGCTTCATAGTGCTTTGCAGCTCGGTCTAAACAGTTTACAGAGTCAGGACATTGCCCTCATATTGCCAGCCTAATACTTGGGCTCTCATTTTACTGACCTTGGAAGGATGGAAGGCTGAGTTGATCCTCAACCATGCCGTTGAGGATCGAATTGCTGGCAGTTAGCAGAATTAGTTTGCAATATTGCATTCTATCCACTAGCCACCATGGTTCTGAGAAGCATCTCTTTCAGTTCCTGAAACCCCTCCACAATTCGCCCAATCCCTCTCCAATTTAAGAGGCTGATCCATGCCACAACAAGACACACCAACCCTGAGGTGATTAGCCTTCCTGCCAAAGAAGTCTCACACAACTACTTTTGCCCCCAAATCACTGACATCTTGAGCTAGGAATTATAAATGTACATTTTGCTCGTTTCTCTTGGAATCCTGGGGCACAGTCTGAATGGACCTCCCCTCTTTTTATATTGGAGTTCCTATCTAGAGAAAGGAATGAATAAGTCTCACTCTCAAATCTTCTATTGTTCATTGCTTAGACGGAAGCAAAGTGCTCTGAAGCAGTCGGTTCACTGCTCAGCTTGACGGTGGTGGGTTTTCCATTCAGCCCAATCAGGACCCAGGTCTAAAAATACAATATTCTTCCAGTGAATTATTGTAGATTTACTCATACCTGCGAAGTTACTCATGTGTGCTATAGTGTGTTGAAATCCTACCATGTTTATGAAGTTAAGATAATTTATGCCAGAATGATGATGCACAGAGTAATATCCTGCCCTACATTTTCTTGGCAGTCATTTCTGAGGGAGAAAGGACTGCAATTATCACATCATATGCATGAGGATTTTAGAAATTTGTGCACATATTTGATTCATTTAGTGACCAATCTGTACACTTACATCCTGATAGTGTGTCCTAGCATGCTTTTTCCTAAACCAAGGAATACTGGCCACTTTATACATGGGACAAGATGTTTTTTAGGAGTTGCACAAGAAAACTGTTTTATAATGAGTAAGACTATAATTTCTTGGAGGACTTCTCTGATTGGTGGTAACTTCTCAGAGGCTCAGGGAGGGGCCTCTACTCCTTCTGTCTGGAGGTTGTCAAGAACTGAACTTGAGTGCTTTTCTCCTGGACCCAGATTTACTTTTGTTGTCAGAAACAAATAGTCCACAGCATAGACAAAGCCTGAATTCAACATTTAGTACATGATTAATACCAAAATAGAAGCAGAGATCTACTCATTTTTCAGGATTCCACACCCACTTTTGATAGCATCAACCACAGTATTCCTCTACAGCATTACTAAGAAAGCAGCTGAAGGAGGCCTATAAAACCATTTCTATCCTTTGTTTCAGAAAAAAAAATTCAGACAGTGGGATTGAGAAACATTTTCTCAAATCCATGCAGTCACTAAGAGCACTCATTTTTAGTTCTGACTATCCCACCAATTATGGCCTTTCATAGGCTCAGCCTGGACACAGCAATTATGTCTTATTAAACATGACTATGTTATAACCTGTCCTAGATACAGAATATGGAATAACAGAGTTGGCAGGGAGAGCTTCAATCTCCTGCTCAAGTAAAAGACCCTGTACCATTCCAGACAAAGGCTTTGTCCAATCTCATTTTTAAAACCTCCAGGGTTGAAATACCCACAACTTCTGGAGCCAAGTTGTTCCAATGATTAATTGTTCTCATTGTCAGGAAATTTCTCTTTAATTCTAGGTTGGCTCTCTCTTTGACAACTTTCCATCTGTCACTTCCTGTCCTCCCCACAGGTGCTTTGGATAATAAGTTGACTTCTTCTTCTCTTATGAAAGCCCCTGAAATATTGGAAGACTGCTATCAGGTTACATCTAGTCCTTCTCTTCATTAAATTAGATATATTCAGTTTCTGTAACTGTTCATCACGTTTTAGCCTCTAACCCCCTAATCATCTTTGTTGCTCTTCTCCGTACTCTTTTTAGAGTCTCAACAACTTTTTTTGTATTGTGTGACCAAAACAGGATACAGTATCCTAAGTATGGTCTTACCAAACAGTATAAAGCTATAGTGACACTTCACTGGATCTTAATATTATCTTGATGTAGCCTAGGACTGCACTGTAGTAGTTCACTTGTGATTCAAACTAGTGCACAATGTCTTGAATAGTCTATTTTTTTGTATGAATGTTGAGATGCACTACTCCTATATCTGCAGTGCGAGTACATTTATTTCGTTATTTCGGCTTTTTATTTCCTCTGGTTGTATTACACTGTTTAGGTTTGTAGAGTTTTGTGTTATTTTATTTTTGTTGGCATCTACTGCTCTGCGATTATTATAAGAATGGTTTTAAAATGTCAAGAAGAACAATTACGACATTGTTCCATATTCTCTCTTTTTCATATCAGAGAAAAGTTTATGGTGGGTGCACTAGAGGGTGAAAAATATTTGTATATCATTGAAAAATAATGCATTTTTTTAAACAAAAGGACAAAAGTAGTAATACATTGGCATATTATATGCACATACAGAGATGACAATGGTGACCTTCAGCCATGGAAGATCCCTGGGTTGCACTAGGCCAATTACTCTGCTTTCTATCTCACAGAGCCGTTATTGTTGTGCAGGGAAAAATAGGTCTTCTGCCAAATAAAAGTACTAAATGCTATTAAGGAGATCTTACTCCTGGCCACTGAACTGTGAGTCAAGTCTACCACAGGGTAATGAACACAGCCTTCGCCACTGATTTTTATGCACAAGTTGAATGATATTGGGGGGGGGGAACCAGTTGAACAACCTAAGTTATTCAGGGCTACATAGAGTAATGTACACAACAGATTGAATTGAATCAGGCAGCTCACAGCCACCAATGAAGCTTCAGAATGGGTGCTGTGTAATTTCATTTAACCACCTCACTTGTTTACCAGGCAAACAACGCATATTATAAGCAAATATAAATGGACATTCTGATCACCCATTCCGTATATCCCCATATACATTACTGTACTCCATTTTTAATCAGTGACACCAGATTTCAAACTGTATCTCTTGCAATCAGCAGCATCAATCTCATTTTCTTTTAATTCATACTGCAGCTAAGCTGTTCATCTGCCCCCTTTTTAGTTTTAGTAGAAAGGTGTTGCTCTTTCTAAAGAGCAGGACTATTAAGGAACATTAATCAACTCTGGATCTTCACCAGATAATATGCGAAATGGTTATTCATGCAGCTTTGTATGGCAATTGTCTTCAGTAATTTTACAATTATTGGTTAATATTAAAATCTAATGGGCATCCTAACCCACTAGCTTCTCTATCCTGTAAGAGAAGTAATTGTAAGTTTCTCATGTTACATTTAAACTTCAGAGTATCAGTCAAATCTCGAATTAGCTAAGAATATGTCTGTACCTGAACTTCTTCAACTCCAATATTAGAAAGTGCAATGTAATTATAAACGGAACAACTGAGAATAGTGCATCAGAGTAATGTTCTTCAGACGGACACAACTAAAAATTGTGTGCAACACAGAAGATCCTTAATCTTCAGTACAGAGAAGGTCTTTGAAAATTTGAATTGGATGTTTTTGTTTAGATTGCTAATCATTTTATTAAACAATTACGTTTGATTGATACGTCTCAAAAAGCACAAATAATTGTTAATGGAGAACAAAACCTTGAAAGGTTCCACACCCAGATGTCCATTGTCTTCATTTTTGTTCATTTGATTCTTGAGATACTGAAGAGAGAAATAAGATCAGAGAAT